TACTCCTATGATAAAAATAATCCCCCTAAAATATAATACTTTTAGAATAGGCTTATTTTTTACATGTTTCTTTTTACTGATTAGTGGCATTCATTCTGATCTTCACTTTTATTGGTTCAGACCTGTCTATTCTTTCTTTCTCTTAAGGCTGTAGGGAAAGTGGGTTTTGAATGTTAAAAAAATTGTAAAGATTAGTTTCATTTTTTTCTCTATTGTGTTTAGTTTTGTTACTTTTTAGTGTAATGATTCAACTATTTATTCCAATTATACATATTTTATTACATCTTTACCTTCATATACATCCGGCCAAAGTATTTTTGTAAGTTTATTGTGAGGTAATATTTTGTGTTTTTCCCCTAAAGAAACTGCTTTCCCCTCAATTATTAATGGAAGATTTCATCATCTCTACAAAATTTGAAAATGTCCATTAATAACATGCTGAATGACCTATGGTAAGAGGCTGAATTGCAATCCCAAAGGCACAACAGTTTGAATCCACCAATGCTCTATGGGAAAATGATGGATAATCTCCTCCCATGTGATTAATTGCCTCTGAAAACCCACCAGAGGGTCAGCGATGGGTTGGTTCAAACAACAACAACAACAAGAAGGTTTATTTATTAAGAAGAAAAGTCTTAATTTCATTACATAATTGTGAATTTATCAACATAACTATTGTCAGTCTCTGATAGCTGAATAAAACGTACTAACCCAAAATAATCCACTTCTCTGACTTTCCACCATCTCACCAGGAACAGGGCTGAGGCTTCCAGATTTGTTTTACTTCTTCCTTTCCTGCCTCCTGCAGGAGATTCTGACTTGCTTCATTGGCCTCTTAGGCTTTTGCGTTGGTGTAGCAACGAGAAGATTTGGGAAAGCTAACTAACAAGATCTATTTTAAGAGGTAGAAAGAATTCATGTTTAGGAGAAGGATAAAGAAAAAAAATTGATTAAGAAGTAAAAGTGTTTCATTCAAACATGATATAGATGATAGATAGATAGATAGGTAGATAGATAGATAGATAGATAGATAGATAGATAGATAGTAAGTATACACACACCATGTTTGAATATTTGAAGAAGGCTTATTAAGGGGATTTGTGGTGGTTCAGTGGTTCAAATTCTCAGTTTCTACTCAGATGGCTGGCAGTTCGAGCCCACCTACTACTTCTCCAAAGAATACAGCCCCTATTGACATTTCTCCATGTTCTGTAAGATTGCTGTGAATCAGAATGCATTTCACCTCAGTAAGATTGCCTGGAGAGGGTGAAACCAGGCTGCTTCTTGTAGGAAAGGATTCTGAAGCTCTGTCTGACATACTTTGGGCAAGGCAGGACCAGTTTTTGGAGAGGGACATTATGCTTGGGAGGGTGGAGGGATTGTGTAAGAGAGGAAGACCCTGGATGAGATGGTTTGACTCAGTGCATGGGGTCAAGGGGGCAGGTGTGTCAGAGATAATGAAATTGGCTCAGGATAGAGCAGGGTTCAGAGCTATTGTACACACAGAGTCACTATGAGTCAGAAGTGACTCAACAGCACATAACAACGACATATCAAATGGAATGTTTTACTTTCAATCTGGACTTACTGATGTATATCTTCTCTATCTTTTCAAACAGTTATTGAAGACTGTTGGAAAGGATCTGGTCATGTGAACACAAGGGCATACCGTATTTGAATAGGAGTAATAGATTATCAGATGTTAGAAAGAGAACTGCATTTCAACTTGAGGGGCAGCTCCACGGAAGGAGACCTCATGACTCCATCCACCTGGAGACCCTGTGAGCGTCACTCAGAGCTGGAATGGGCTCCAGAGTGCTGTGTTAGGGTTGGGGTTTTTTGGTATAAGCACTGTACCATGATTTCATTTTTTTTTGTGACATTATTTGATTTTTACCAATATAATAGCCCACAAGATTATCTTGTGTTCCCCTTTAAAAAAAACCAACAAACAAACAAAAAAATACGTTTTTCCACTTGCCACAGAACAAACTGACATTGAAGACTGTTTGAAAGAACATTTCAATTCAAAGGAGGTTGTGGAGAACACTTTCCACTGCAGAAGACCTTCCGTGTCTCCTCACACAATTAACATCACTGTTCTTTCATGATAGAGATTCCCGTGGAAATCTTGTTGGAAGGTTTGCCTAAGCTAGGAGAGGAATAATAAAGCATGCCTTAGTTAGTTACCTGGAAGCTCAGTTAACAGCTTTGGGATTGACCCATCAAACCTGGCCCCAATCTTGCTATCTGTCTTTGAACTACACGATTCTTTAGCCCTTAGCTTCAGCTCCTGTCCAGAGGCTTAAACTGGACTGGGTCCCATCCGTGCCATTTGGCCTCTGGCCCACGGTGGGTATTAAATCATCAAAGTCTGCAATGTTGTCATAGAAGTATCCCCGTAACCTTTGGATGCATTGTAGGCCATGCCCAGGTCTTAGAACCCCAGGACGCTGATGATCAAGACAGGAATGACCCAGTCTGCTCCCCCTTTGTTAATGTAGCCTGCCAGCAGGAGGGATCCGATGATGATGATGATGATGATGATGATGATGTTAAAGGTGCCAATCAATAACAGCACAGTGTCAAGGGCAATGGCTTTGTAAGGGATCTCAGGTGGGCTTTTCTTAAAGTTCAATGCAACCATCATCTGTGGAGATCCTTGAGTTCTTTACTTTACTCCTGGGAATCCCAGCAGCCAGGTTGGTGCGAGATGGTATCATAGCAGGTTGACGGGGCCGCAGTCCAAGGCCGCACCACCTGGTGCCCACTACCTCGACCTGCTCGGCCACCAAGACACCGAACACTGCATAGCCCTACAATTTATTTTTGGAAATGAAATGTTCTATATAATTATAAACACAGTTGAGAAATAAAAATGTAGAAAATATTGCCCTTACTTCTCTCAAATGTCCTGTGATAAATTATCAGTTCTAAATTCAGCTAGGGTATGTTAAATGCATGCACGTTTAAGTAATACTCCAAGCATTTCTATGATAACTATTTATGTCTTTAAGGATTGCATTATTCACTCACTTGACCCAACTCGTTTCAACAGCAAATGTAATAATATAACATTTTGGGAGTTTAATGTGTTCTACTTTGTCTGTATTTTCACTATTCAAAGGGGGATACTATTATTGAATCCCAAGATATTTGAAGCACAAAGCTTAGATGGGAATCTTACAAGAGAAAAAAAAAAATAGATATTTCCTATTCAATTCTCTTACACAAGTGGTGAATATCTTCTTTTTGTTTTAAATGACAAAGAGGATAATGCAGAGGATAGGAATCTAATAAAGTATTAGAAGACCATACCTTCTTCATGATCTAATGCAAACTTTTGAAACAGTGCAGAACTTTTTATTATGCTAATGTAGAAGGTGTTATTGTATACTTTGCCTGACAATCTCAT